GGAATTCATGGCAAATAGTATGGTGGCTGAAAAGCATGGTGAATGTAGAAAGATTTCTTCTTTGCCTTCCCAGTTGCCATCAATAAACTGGCTTTGTGAGCTGCACCCTCCATCATACCCACAGTGGTTGCTAGCTGTTGAGCGGAGAGAGGCACACAGCTGTCATAAGCTTGATCTTGGTGACATCTTATAGCAGTACGTTTCACATTTTAATGACAAAATGAGTGAAAGGTATTTCCTTTTGTTTGCTTTAAATGTTTTTATTTGGTTAAGCCTGTACCTACTTAGGTAGGAAGAACGGAGAATAATGCATCCCTATTTACGTCCCTCATACCATTTATGACTATATAGACTTGACATGTCCACTCCTCCAATCTATTTCCTAAATGACAGATCCTAATCTATTTAATCTTATCATATATAAAACTATGCCACATCTCTGGTCATCTGTGCTTTCTTGCTTTCTTCTGGTTCTATGAAGTCATTTTTTTATTTGGTGAGGCTAAAACTACATGTGATATTCTAGACATGAGAACAACACGGATCTGTTACAGTGGCATAAAAATATGTCTGCTATATACTTTGTTATTACAGGGATCAGCCCTTGAGTCCTCTTTAAAGACTGTCACAGTTACTACATTTCTTCTAGTATCAAGGCTGTCATAAGTGACAGGTTGTATGTTACAATAGTTCAGAAATGTCATATTTGAGTTCCTTTAAAATTAAGACTTTTTGGGTGAACACCATCTTATGGCAATTCTTATTGTTCAATATTATTTACATCTTTTAAAACACATTCAGATGATGGTAGACATTGAGAAACTTCCTCAGATTGCGAGAATCTCTCCAACCTGCTTTGTTGTGGACATCAGTGAAAACAATTAATTTAGCGTTCAGTACTTTTATACCTTAATTGCCTGCCTACCCAATCATCTCTCCAGGAGGCTTCTAGTGTGGTTATTAACAAAAAAGAATTATTAACTTTTATGTCTATAGCAAGTTGATTTTCAAAATACTGTGATTTATATTTAACTTAATGGATTTTATGGGGTTTTTTTCTCCTATCTTTCTCCATTGAGAAGACTTACACTTTTGAAGAGTGTCTTTCCAAAATCTGCTTCATTCTGCTGTTTTGGCTTGGGTGTTGAGGTTTTTCTTGTTTGTTTAAAATAGTTGATTTTTATAATTAAAAAAAAATGGTGGGTTATATGTGATTATTCTGTGTCTCTCATATACTTTATCTCTAGCCTGCCTCCATGCTGTTTGCTTTAAAACTTTTTAGCTGTTCTTTTCGGTTTTTTTTAACTAACTTCCTCATTTTCATCTGCTTATTCTCTGAAAGTTAAATATTACTACAGTGGATTTTTTTTGTTGTCCTTTTCCTTTGCAACAAGTATGTTGACTTTCAGTCCAGAAGTGGTTCTCTGATAACTACTTCTTGAACTGGGTCCTATGTACTACTCAGAACTAAATCAGCTTCTCTTCTTGTGGGTTGTCTGATTCCTTGCTACAAGCAGCAATCATTTATGGTACGTAAAAGCTTCATTTTTTTTGTCACTCCCTGATTTAATGCCGCATGTGTTGGAGCATATCAAATTTTGCATTATTATGTAAATTCTCTGTATAGCCAATGTAATTTCACTTACCCTGTTGCATTTATGTCACCATCTCCATCATGTGGTCAGTAATGCAGCCCTAGCATTATATTCTCCCTAGTCAGCCGTGAATTCTGTAAATAGTTGCTGGAACATGTTGATAACTTACCTGGTTTGACCCTAAACTTCCCTTGATATATGACTTGAATCCCCTGGGGATACTTTGTATAATCAGTACTCCAGTAATAAAGTGTCCCTTTGATTGTCTTCCTCCTTCCGATTTTCAGAGTCCATCTTTTCCAAGACCAAAATATTTTAAATTTCAAATAGATTTGAAGATTTTAATCTGAGGGTGTTTAAATAAGTTACAACTAAAAATAGTTGTATAAATGAAACTCAGAAATTTTTTTCACAAAATGAAAAAAATTATATAATTTTTCTTGAAATTCTCTGGATTTGGGAGATTTGCTGAGATTCAACAAGAAGCCTAATGTCCATTTCAAAATCTTGCCCTTCTTTTGCCTTTTTTTTGTGGCCAAAGACTTTATTATACCTTCTTAAGCTACAGCTCGTGAAGTACAAGACCATTCTAGCTTATATTCCAGTCATAGCCTAAACCTTGATATAAAGCTGTTTTCCGTATCCTTCTCATTTTAAGTCAACATGAGTTTTTCAGGAGAAGGCAAAATGTTTTTCCCCTGCTTTGCTTGTGAAAGACATGGAGTACTCCGTTGTTTACTGGCACTAACAATATTTCCGCATTTGTCTTCCGCACAGCATTTGTTTTATATTTTCACTCTATCTTATTCACTATTTTGTGATTACATTTATTCCCTTGTGCTGCCACATTCTATGGATAGTTTGTTCTGCAATATGTTTTGACACTCAAAGTGAACATACTGAATTTCTCTATACTTGGTATTACAAGTTAGCTTTTCTTCTCAGCAGTCGTGTGTGTCTGACAGCACTAGCCCTTTTCTTTCTCCTGTTGTTTAGATTATCTTTGGCACTTACGTTCTTTGCTCCATCAGACAGAGCTGTCTAAGACTGTGCTGAGCTCCCATCCATCAAAGCCTGCTCACTTTTTGTCAGTCCCTCCACAACCAATAACCTGTACCAGAAGTGCTTGACACTCGGTGAAAACCACCTCCCAGCTGTTACAGGACTTCCCTAATTTGCAGTTCAACATGAAACAAAGGATTGACCAGAACACAGGGAACGCTGGTGATTCTTTTAGTCAACAGCTAGGCAGATCGTCTCAATCGGTTTACTGAATTTTTCCAGCAATGGATCCCCCTCTGATAGTACAGCCTCTGTCTTGGCAGCACGGCCTTAATTCTCCGTGAATGAGAAAAGACTTATGAGGCATCACTGCAGCACAGCTGCCACAGAAACAGTTTCTGGCAAAAAATATGGCACTTGAAGTAAGTATTGCACCGATTACATCTGTGTTTGCAGTTTTCCCCATGAACATTTCCTGACACAAAGCCATCTTGAAAGACCAGGATAA